TGACAGGGGCTCAACGACCATTTCCCCTAAACCATGATCACTCAGCCACTGGCCGGAGGCAAAAACTAAGTCCAGTGTGTGTCCTCCGGTGTGGGTAGGGACATCTACTAATTGGGTCAGGTCCATGGCCGTCATGGAGGCCATGAACTCCCGAGCCACCTCAGATGCTTCACCTAACGATGGCAGATTGAAATCCCCCGTGACTAACAGTCTGGGGGTCTCAATCGCCATCTCGGCTATCACACTGAGTAGCTCGGGTAGGGCTGCTGATACATAGCGGGGAGCCAGGTATACAATCAGCACGCCCTGCTGCCTCCCATGACCCCACTTCACACCTAGGGATTCACAACCGGCAGTCTGCGGCACAGTGGTCTCCCTTGGATCCAGGCCTTTCCTAATAATAACCACCACCACCCCACCCCGACCCTGGGCTCTCGGCTGGTGAAATGCACGGTAACCTGGCGGGCACATTTCAACGAGGGGCACCCCCCCTTGGCCCAGCCAGGTCTCCGTAATACCCGCCAGGTCCACCTCCCCCTCCGATACCAAATCATAAATGAGGGGGGCTTTATTAACCGTGGACCGTGGACCTGGCGTTACACAGCATCAGCCGAAAGCCCAGGCCCTGAGAATCCTTCTTTAGGTAACCTCCCACTCTGTGAGAGTGGAGTAAAGGAAGAACAACAGAGATTAGGCACAGGACAACAGGTACTAACTGGTTGTAATGGAAAACTCATAATTAAGAGAGATACTGCATTTGTCATTAATCCAGGCATTGGTTCCAAAGTTACTTTTTCATCACTGTCACAACTGTGAAAGGTCACAGTCCAAGGCAGTCACTAAACAAGGACTACCTGTATCTTCATGATAACTAGGCGATTGAGTTAATGCACTGGTGCTACCAACTAATTATCTCCATTTATATTCTACAAGAATCAAAGATTCATGTTTCCAGTTGTATTCAGATTTTTTACACTGCATCTGAAGTACTACTGCCAAAAAGGTATATATTTTTAAATTATTGTGCAAAGCCATTACAATAAATTAAACAAAACTGTGTAATACACTTTAGATAATATTAAATAAAGATATCACTGTGGTGGAACACATGCCAGTCGCAGGAAGGTGGGACTCTTTTCCAGCTAAGAAGCATGAAATCTTTGGTATTTAATAGTTATGAGATAAGTGTTTTAGTCTGGCAAAATTTATGTCTACAGGCAAGCAGCAATAAAGAAACTACTTTGAACTCATGTTCTTCTTGTTTCCTTTTGATACTATGAAAAAAAATCCTATAAAAAGAACTATAAATTAATGTTTGCTAATTTAAATCCATTGATTGAAAGTAGCTACCTTAAGTATAAGATAAATTTGAAGTTAATCTGGCGTAAACCAACTTAAAATTAAAATTAAAATGTTTAAATTAAATGTTAAATTTTAATTCAGATTAGAAAACATTAAAATAATAAGTATAACCACACATCCTTAAAGGTCATGGAAGAATATTTTTTTAATTCAGCATCTTTTATTACATTTTAAAGTTTTGTTTATAAGATATTTTCAGAATACTTCCAAAACAGAGACACATAGTTTTAGATTAATATTAAACTTACCTCTCTTCAGAGCTGTACAGGCGAGCAAGACCAAAATCTGCAAGCTTGATCTGCCCTCTAGTGGAAACAGTAAATTTTGTTTGATGTACAATTGAATAATATCCATAGTAACTATATTTAATTCAATTTTAAGGGATTTTTTTTTGCCTTGGACCCACACAAAACTCTTTGCAGTACAGTCCTCATGCATAAAATTCAAAACCTAAGTTTTACACATGAGTTCTGTTCTCATGATTTAGATGCTACAAGTATGCAGTCAAAAATGAGAAAAATAAAGCATTAAAAAGTAATAAATCATTTTAATACTTAAAAACATTTTACTGTACTGATATAAGATTAAATATCCATTGATTTCTATAACTTAATGCTGCAATTATCAATATTTTTAATATCTACTACATGCCACTTTTTAACTAGTTCTCAAACTGCTATATACCTAAAGCAATATTTTAAAAGCACATAAAATACAAATATAATAAATATTCATAGAGCAGAAAAGAGTTTCTAAAAATTACTATAGAATTTACTATATATGTGTGTGTGTGTGTGTGTGTGTGTTTATGTATGTATGTGTGTGTGTGTGTGTGTATGTCTTTAATAACGTTAAAAACAAGAATCCCGGGTATACATATATCGTGGCAGTAATAAAAGTATCCGAACACCAGGATAAAACAGCAGGGGAGCAACCTTGGAAGCTACGGATGCATTGACAAGCACGGGCCCTTTAAGAACAGCACGGCCGGTACTAATGAGTGGACCAATGACCCATTCAAGGGTTAGAGCGCAGAGGCGGCCAGTTATATAAACTAACTCCCAGATCTGGCGTTTTTTACACTCTGACAATGTTGGTAGTTTGGCCAACGAAAGCTTAGTACTTTTTGTAGTTTAAACAGCTTTGGTTTAAGATTTTTATCCTGGTGTTCGGATACTTTTATTACTGCCATATATATATAGTCCTTAATAACATTAAAAATGTGAATCCTGGGCATACACATATCAATAAAATATAGAAAAAAATGAACACCAGGATAAAAGTAAAACAAACCTGTTTAATACAAACAAGTTTGTAAATAAAAGTGTTACCAAGCTCCCTAATCACCTAGCATTCCAACCCTGATGACGTTGGCAATTAGGCCGATGAAAGCTTGGTAACTCTTTTATTTACAAACTTGTTTGTATTAAACAGGTTTGTTTTACTTTTATCCTGGGTATTCGTTTTTTTCTATATTTTATTGATACACACAAACACACACACACACACACGGTATGTCATTAATCTAGCTCTATGTGCATGTACACTATGTACAGGTGGAAAAAAAAGGTTCCTTGGGAAATGAAAAACACAATCCTACTACTCATATGCAGCAATTCAGTACACACGGGAAATGTCTTTTTTTGTCATAATTTATTGATCCTATGGAAGATATTTAACATCTCTAATCTTAAAATTAAACCAGAGGGCTTCTGTAGAAGCCTTATGGGTTGGATTTAGCCTAAAAGTATTCTGATTGTTTAATCATGACTTACTTAGATAAACTCACTGCTTTCAATATATCTATTCCAAATATAAGTATGCCTAAAATGAACTCTAGATTCATATTAGTTATGCATTCAAATAAATGAAATGCTGAAGTCATTAATAATTTTCAGAATTTCCAGTAGATTTAACAAAAAAAGTGCATTACATGTGCCAATAAAATGTTATTACTATATTTAAAAATGAATTTACAAACTACATTTTCTTTCATTTCTAAATTTTGGAAATATATTTTTTAAAAACTGGATGGTTACCTGTTGTTTAATAAGATGTTAGAACATTTAATATCTCGATGTAAGAAATTCTTCTTATGGCAGTAATCTAAGCCTTCCATCAATTGCTTCATGAAAGATTTAATATGACTTTCATCAAAATGAACCAAGCCAGATTCCAGAAGCCCCATGAGATCATGATCCATATATTCAAATACAAGGTAGAAAGCACCTGGAAGAAATTAAGATAATTTATATATCTAGTTTTATTTAAATAATGTCACTGTTTATTCAGACGATAGCTATAAATCTTGCTTAGCTATCAGAATTCACACACATATTACCACTTTTTTAATATATACACAACGTAATTTCCCTGAATACTTTGTTGGAAAAGAGAGGACATGTAATTTTTTACATATCCTTATCTCATCAATCATCTTAAATATTATAGGAAAACATACAAAATATATTCTGATTTAAGAATTTATTTATAAGATCACAACAAAATGATAAAATTAAAAAGAAAAGGAAAATAAGAATTTCTAAGATGGATTGAAGGAAGAAAACTGAGATAAAGTAACAAGGAAATACAAGTGGTCCTCGAGTTACAACCACTTATTCAGTGACTATCCAAAGTTAGCAAAGGGACTGAGCAGTAGTACTTATGATTAGTCCTCAAAATTCTGCCTATCACAATACTCCCGTGTTTATGGGATCACAATTTGGGCACTTGGCAACCAGCTCAGACTTACGATTGCATGGCCCCACAATCACATGACCATCATTTGTAATCTTCCCTGCTGGCTTCCCACAAGCAAAGTCAAAAGTAAAGGCTACAAGTTGTTCCTGTAAATTGCTTTTGCCATTTTTATTCCTAAGGAGCCTGTTACAGAGTATGAGATCCCAGAGTCACATATTCAACTTGCCTGTGATCCCCCAACCCACCCATATTTCATAGCAACTGTAAGTGGCATCCATGCATTCCCCTCCATTCCATAATGTTTGCCTGGTGCACTTTGCCTAGGACTCTTGCCTCTTTATAGTTAATGAGCTAGCAACTGGGACTTCTCTCACTAAGCAATACAGTCACATGACATTACATTTTGAATGTACATTCTGGTTCCAACTGCCATCAAAACCCAAGGACTACCTGGAAAATAATATCAAATAGAATAATATTTATGTGTATAGGTAATCCTCAACTTACAACAGTTAATTTAGTAACTGTTCAAAGTTATAACAGCATGCCCATGATGACATGGTCAAAATTTGGATGCTTGGCAACTGACTCACATTTATGATAGTTGCAGTGTTCTGAAATCAAGTGATCACTTTTTCCACCTTGCTGTCTGACAAGCAAAGTCAGATGCTAGATTCACTTAACAACCATGTTATTAACTTAACAAAGGCAGTGATTCACTTAACAACTGTGGCAAAAAAGAACATAAAATAAGGCAAAATTTAGCAACAAAAATTCTGGGTTTAACTGTGATCATAAGTTGAGAACCACCTGTATTTATACACACATAGATACATACAGAGCAATAGCAAGATAGTAAACTAAGTAGCCTTTCCTCTATAGTCTCTGAAAAACAAACTGCACAACTATTAAATTTAAAGTTATTGGCTTTAACTATAGAACAAATTTAACAATATTTAACACCTTTGTTAAAGATTTCAGTGGAGATGTCTCCAAATAAAGTATGCTGTTTCATCCAAGTCATCTTATATGGCCATCAGGAAAAAAGTGCATCCGAACTTACTACAAATCCTCGCATAATACCCAATGCAGCAGATTATGAAATATTGACTCAGTGGTTACTTTAGAAAATTGGCCATAGTGTCTAATCATAAAATATTACTAAATGGCTCTTTCGCAAGTTTCAACAGTATCACATTATATCCTTTATATTTAAGAGACAGGATAGCTTACATAGTTGGGGATAGCTAATGGACTGAGGTAAACATTCTCTAAAGTATAGCTTTCAATTTTAGATCTATCAGTTTGTAAATTAAAATACTAACTATAATATTTTAGTTTAAAAATAAGTAATCCAGTTTCTCTTCAGACAGTATCAATCTTTTACCCCATGTGAGGATAAAGCAATCATTCACTAAATTGAAAAAACCTCCACTTCAAGTTTTACTTAAACAACATAAGATTTTTCTCATTTCAGAGCAGCTATTGCAGCATCACCATTTATATGTTCAAGTTCCAGAAAAATAGTTCTGAATTTTATTATTATCCCTTGGTTAAACAAGAATAAAATCTACCTTATACCCCCTACTCTCCAGCCCACTTTCCATCTTGGAATTTATCAAAATCTGGGGAACAGTCCTTATTGCAATATGAAAATAAAAAGATATATGACATTAAGAATTTTTTCAAGTTTGAATAAAAACTCAAAATCTGTAATTACACATTTCTGTAATTTTAAATTCCGGACATTTTAGTCAAAAATAGTTCAACCAATCCAAACAATATTAGGAACTAGTATTAACTGCTTTCTTCATCAGGATATATCAAGAAAGATCCAAGATTCTCCCCACTCCTGTCTGTACCATCACCACACATTATTTTAAAGAGAAATGTTTGGGGAACAAATACTAAGCCATCTGAAAACATCACTCTCTTCTCCTATTTTATAAAAGATAAGTCTATGAATTTATCTTTTTATCTTAATTTAATATTTTATCTCCTATACTGTATTATCCACATATCATGTATATGTATAGGTAGCCCTCAGTTCATTTAGTGACTGTTGAAAGTTACAACAGCACTGAAAAATGTGACTTATGACCATTCTTCACAGTTACCTTTGCAGCATCCCCATGATTTATATTCGTATACTTGCCAACTGGTTCATATTTATGACTGTTGCTATCCCAAGGTCATGTGATCCTCTTTTTGCGACCTTCTGACAAGCAAAGTCAATGGGGAAGCCAGATTCGCTTAACAACCAAGTTACTAACTTATCAACTGCAGTGATTCATTTAACATCTGAGGCACGAAAGGTTGTAAAATGGGGCAAAACTCACTTAACAAGTGTCTCATTTAACAACAGAAATTTTGGGCTCAATTGTGGTCATAAGTCGAGGACTATCTGTATCTGTATGCTGATGCTTTACTTAAATTTGTATATCAGTGATTGCATGACCACTATAGATGCCATATGCTAAATACAATGTATATGTATCAATGCATAGAGCCGTGGTGCACAGTGGTTAAAATGCAGTATTGCAGGCAGGTCACTGCCAGCAGTTCGATCCTGACCGGCTCAAGGTTGAATCAGACTTCCATCCTTCCGAGGTTGGTAAAATGAGGACCCAGATTGTTGGGGGCAATATGCTGACTCTGTAAACTGCCTAGAGAAGGCTGTAAAGCACTATAAGTCTAAGTGCTATTGCTATTGCATAAATGAATGAATGAATGAATAAATAAATAAATAAAAATTTACCGCAATTCCCTGCTCCTTGCCAATCTGTAAACTGCCTAGAGAAGGCTGTAAAGCGCTATAAGTCTAAGTGCTATTGTTATTGCATAAATAAATAAATAAATAAAATTTACCACAATTCCTTGCTCCTTGCCAATCTTTCATTTAATCAAAAACAGATGCATAAGCCCAACCTAACAACATATGCTTTCAGTGTATACTACTGTATTTTGACAAACCCAAGAATTTCATCAAAATAGTAAAATAGTCAGAATAAGTTCTTCCAGACAGTAAATCAGCAAATACATACTTAAGAAACTCACTTAAGATAGTCCACTACATGTATTTTGCACCTTTTATTTTCTTTTCTATTTCCATTAAACAGATCTGGGAGGCACAATCAAGATTGTATTCCAACTTCAGAGTACTCTGTTGTAAACATGTGTATGAAAAAGAAACAAGCCATAGCAAACTTCAGGTTTGCACAGTCCTATCCTCCTCCTTCCAGATGGCCAAGAGGAGGCAATTGGAAGCTTTCACTTCCATTCTTAATTAACAACTGTTCTGGGTCTGGAAAATAAAATACAATTAATTTTAACCAAAATTATTTAAGCACACACAGATTTCCTATGATAGAATACTTGAAACACTCTGAGTTTTTTTTATCTGAAACATACAACACACAAGGCACTCAGTTCTACTGATTATATTTTGACTGGTATGAAACAAGTATATTAGCACAGATAGCATAGCAAATTACAGTTAATAAAAAGTAGATATATGTAAAACATTTTGAACTCTAACAATAGTTTTTTTTAACAAACACTCTTGTTCAAAAAGATTTTTGAACTGCTCCAGATAAGGAGAGGTTGGGAGATTGCCTCCTCTCGTGAGGAAACCACAAGATAGGAGTCAACTTTTGGGTTTGACTGCTAGGAGATAAGGAAAGACAAAAAGCTTTCAGTTGCATCAGAACTTTTATGGATACTTGCATTATCTTTTACAATTGTTAAAACGTCTAATAATTATTTTTTTTTTTAAACCTTTGATTTCCAATTGCTTTCCAATTTTTAACAAACTTTTTAATATCATAGATCAATGAATCTCTTTAATTGGGATAAGGAGAAGGGGGGAAATAATCAATTCCAAGATATTAGAAATGCAATCAGAGGTAATGGAGAGATAAAGGAATCATACACTTATGACTGTTTTCTCATGCCCCAAACTATCAAGATGCAATCATTTAAGAGTTTGGAATAACAAAGAAATTAATTGTGACCTATTAAAATACAACATTAATGTGTTACAGGCAAAAACCTCTCATAATTTTACAATACGTATGCAATTTCTAATTCACAATTTCTTTAAAAGAGCTATGAAAAATCTAAGTAAAAGCAATTTCATGATGACTGTATTTTATCTAAATACATCCACATGTATATAGAGACCTACTGAAAACCATCAAGTATCTTTGTTAATGAATAACCAAGCATCAGTTTCTCCATGTTTCTCCATTCTTGAACTATAAGTTCCAAGAGGATTGCATAAAGGAATTCATATAAGATGAAAACATAAAAAATAACAATAACACTTTCTCTTATATTAATTGATAACTGTCAGTAAAATTTTCCAAATTGCAGGATTGCAGAAATACCCCAGAGTATCTGCAAGTTAATGTAAGTTTCTTCACAATGAAAAAAAAGTCTGTAAATTATCAAAACAGAAAAGCAGATGCAGATTGCCCTGCTTTTTCAAAAAGACAAACTTCTCATTTCTTATACTGAAAAATATCAAG